AAAAGGGAATCTCTCCTTTTCCAGTCATCCCAGCAACAGTGGATGCTCTTGACCAGGCTCACTGGAATATCCATTGATACTGGGACGCCTGGGAAAGCCATGCCAGTGCTTCCTCATTCAATGGATGTGTTGGGAAGCATTTGAAATGATGTGTCCTCTCTGCTTAGTGGCTGTGGAGAAGCCTCCAGGCCTGGTCTGCTAAGCGTAGATCGTACCTTACAACGTTACCAATTTGAACATATGGCATATAGACAGTTGTGCATGAACATATTTTTTTATATCTGGAAACCTTTCATAGATGCTTATCTGTAAACTTTCCACCGTTGTTATATTTTTTTCTTTTCTGCTTGTGGGTTGTAATTAAATTAGAAATGATTAAATTTTAAAAATGCACAGAAGTTAGATTTGTCATTCCAAGCCCCGGAAGAAGTTGGAGGGTTGTGCGCATGTGTGGTTGCATCCTGTAATAAGTGAGTCAGCAAAACTTGTTTGCGAACTGCATAATTTTGTACTTAAGCGATGCCAGTGTCAATAATAACTTCACATCGTCATTCCTAGACTTTTTGGTCAGAGCTCCAGCTATTTAAACCTTCTGCATTTGTGGGGTAAAGAGAATAGCAAGTGAGACCCCCCCCCACACACACTTTCTATTAATCTTTCCCCTTCCCCTTGTTGGCCTTAACTGTGATTACCGTACATTGGCAAAAACAGTGTTTCATGCTAAGCTAGTTCCCCTCCAGTATCTTTCAGTTAGCTTCACATACTGGTTAAGATGGGATGCATTTTACCATTAGTCATGGTTCATATCAGAATTAATAAATGCTTAGATGTGGTTAAAATTAGCACGAGAATGTGTATGGGATTCATGCATGAGAAGACAGGAAGGAATTGGGCTCAGGGAGTGCAGGAACTGACAATTCTTGCTTACTTCAGCCGTGGTTGGGAGATGAGCATTTATGCCTCCACCTCCCCTGACACAAGAATCCAAGGCTTGATTCTAGGCAGTTGTGTTTCCTTAAGTGCTTGTTGTAGAACAGGCCGCTAAAAAGAAACATTGTCAAAAATTTATGTTTTTAAAAGGGCATGGTGGTAAAGATTTATTAAATTTATTTAAATGCTGGAATCCAAGGCTGCATAAAATCTTTTAATTGTGAAGGTTTATTTTTACATTTTTCAAATAATTTTCCATTGCATGTAAAGTATGAGTTTTCGTGATTGCTGTTCTTAGATCTTTTAAAACGTTGCCCTGCAAATATTATGATGGCCTAGTACCGTTTAAAAGCAAGTGGTCCCCTTCTTTTGCCAATGCCACACTACAGCGAAAGGTTATTTTAAAGCAGTTCTGCCTTATTTTTTAAGGGCTTGAGGTATAAACAATGGTATAAATCTACCATCTAGTTAAGTGTCTAGCAATGCAAAAAGCCCCTTTTGGAAGCTGCGTGGCTATTTCTGTTTGCTTAAGTAATGTAATATGTTAGAACTGTAGATCAGCCTCCCCCCACCCCCCGGTGTAAGTACAGTTACTATAATTTCAGGTATAATACCAACGTTGTGTTCTATCCCAAGGAGCTTGTAAGGTGTTGCCTTTTTACTGCCCCTTCTATGTGCCTTTGACCACTGCTTACCTCTATACTATAAAGATGCTTGCCCATTAAGGCACGGGGGAAGAGGAAAGGAGGAACCCTAAATGCAGGTGTGCCACAGTGAAGAACACACCATTTTCTGGTCTTCGTCTCTGCCTTGTGGTACTAACAGAAGTTATTTCTGGTAGTCGCAATGTAAGTTTATTTTATTTTTTTATTTACATTCCATTTGTATACCGCTCTCCCCCTAAGGGCTCTGAGCAGTTTACATTACATTATACAATACATCCTACCTAAGGGCTACATATACAATGAAGGGGGAGTGACTGACCTAACAGGCACCCTCTGGCGAAGTCTTGTTGTTCTTAGTCTTTCTGTGGGAGGTATTTTCAATCTGCCGGCGGCGACTTCCTGGTGCAGGTCTTCTGGCACAGATCTTCCTTCAGGCGCTGTGATTCCTCGGGCTTGGGCAAAGGGCGCGTCAGCCCGTGCTCCTGCTGCGGCCTCTGTCCAATAGGCTCCGGCCTGCTGCGTTGCCCCGCCTCCATGCTCCGTCAGCCCAGCCCTGCTCGCTCGCTCACCTCGCCACCATGTTCTTCACCGCCGCCGCTCTACCGTTCCGTCAGTACACCACCATGAAGGACGGGTGCCCCCCCCCGCTCTAAGAGCAGGTACCCATTTTGTCTACTTGCCCTTTAACAGGCTTTCGAGCCGCTGGGTGGACGGGAGCTGGGACATGGGCCGGGAGCTCACCCCGGCCACGGTGGGGCTCGAACAGCCGAAACTTTAGGACTCTAAGGGATTAGGACTCTAAGGGGTGCGGTCACACGTACCAGATAAAATGGGGGGAAGCGAGGCTGTTTCCTCCAGAGGCATTCGACCTGCAGTTGCACGATCACATCTCCCTTTGAAGCTGTGGGCACAGCCCGTCAGTATGCGACCAGACGCAACTGCGGGTGAGTCAGGGTTTTTTTGTGCCGTTTCCCATGTGCTTAAACGAGGAATTGATGAATCGCACCTTCGCACCGGGGGCTCCCTATGGAGTTTGCGATGATGCGCATACTGCAAAGGGGGGGGGGAACCAACTGCACAGAGTCGGGATGGCCCAATCAGACCATCCCGACGGCATGAGAGAGCGCTGGATCGATCAGACACGGGAAAGTCCGTCCGTGGCCCGTCGCAACCCGTTTACTACCGGATTTCCCCCGATGTCTTTTAACTCCGCTTCTGTGGCGGAGCGGAATGGGTTGCCGACAGCTACGGGGCGCTTCCCAGATGGTGTTGTCTGATCGCGCCCTTTAAATCTGCCCGGCATTTGCGCCTATGTCGGGTCTAATTGTGCCTATGATTGGAGCCATAGTGACATACAGAGCATCCTAAGCAGAGTTACACCTTCTAAGTCTATTGAAGTCAATAGCCTTAGAAGGGTGTAACTCTGCTTAGGGACGGCACTTTAAACTCACTTGATTGTTACACTCATTGGGGTTGTTTCGGGTCAGAGAGGTCTTCTCTGATAACTATTCACTTGGGGTTGTTTCGGGTCAGAGAGGTCTTCTCTGATAACTATTCACTTGACACCAGCTCCGTCAAACAGAATTTAGACAAACAGCTTTGAACTAACTTAATATATTTTTTGACCTGGCTTTTTAACAGTATCTGATTAACTGAATAGTAGTCTATTCAGCTGGTTCTTGTTATGTTTTTAGACTGAAGTGTGATTGTGTTGCATATCACTGTTTGTTTTACGCACTGATCATTTTACTTGTTGCAGTATAACATTTAAAATTATTTGTAACTTTTGGGAGAGCATTTCAGTCTGTCAGAATGCACTATGACTGATATGAAAGAATTCAGACTAAATTTTCCATCAGTGGAACAGAACTTTCCTGCTTCCTCTCTCTCATCTCCATGAAACGCTGTTCCTGGGGACCCTGAGGAACAACATAGTATGTGTATGTGTGTGTGTGCCCGCATGCCAGGGGTGGGGTCTGAAGCAGGATCCGGCAGAAAATTTAGTCTGGATACCTTTTTTCAACAAAAGACGTTTAAAGGGAGACTCTATAAGAAATTATGGATTAGAATATAGCAAATCCAGAAGCTGCAGCTGGTGCAAAATGCCACGGCCAGGCTGGTGATGGGACTCCCAATACGGGAGCACATCCAGCCTGTGCTAAAAGCGTTGCACTGGCAGCCTATAGCATACCGGATTCGCTTCAAGGTACTGGTCTTGACCTTTAAAGCCCTTTATGGCCAGGGTCCGACATACCTGAGGGACCACCTTTCCCCATATAAGCCCCGGAGAGCACTGCGTTCAGGGACCCAGAACCAACTGGTCCTCCCAAGTATAAAGGAGGCCAGATTGGCAACAACTAGGGCCAGGGCTTTTTCGGTGGCAGCTCCACTCTGGTGGAATGAGCTCCCAGAGGAGATCAGGGCCCTGTGGGACCTTCTACAGTTCCGCAGGGCCTGCAAGATGGAGCTCTTCCGCCAGGCTTTTAAAGCCACCACCACTGCTGCCATCACCACCAATAACAACTGATAGTTATGGTGGAAGGCCTGAGCAGTAGGTCCCCGAGACTGTTTCCTGGTCCATCCCCCTCTCCCCCAGAATGGAAGCGGACCAACAGAACGACTGAATATTGGAATTTCTAGCACTTTAATACTGTCGATTTTAACATTGTTTATATTGCCGTATGGCTCATTTAAACTGATATTAATTGTGATGAATGTGTTTTATGTATTATGAAGTTTTCTCTTGTTGGAAGCGGCCCGGGGCCGCCTAGGCCGGAATGGGCGGGATAAAAATCAATGAAATCAATCAATAAATAAATTCATAGTATTAGGCTGGAACAAAATTGATGTAGTTTTTAGCTTCCGCAGGTGTTAAACTGCATAACAGACTGTTTACCACCGATTATAACTGTGTTTGTTCTGCATATTTTGCATACAAATGTGACATGCTAAATGTTTGATTTCCCATAGCCTTTTAAATCCATTGTTTACACTGATTTTCCCCTTCTCTCTGTGTGTATACATCTGATGAAAGTCTGCTGCATGTGACTGATGAAGTGTGTTCTAGCCCTCGAAAGTTTAGACTTCCAGATCGTCAGCAAAAGAAGCTATCTTTGCAGATCACTGACCCATCAACCCTGCCCTAACTGTGGGCACCCCTTGATGGATGCTCTCCTGAGTTCCTGGGTTGTTTTGGATCAGGAGGACCACAATGCATGAGGGGACAGGAACTCCACATGTGTGTGTTTAATGCCCCTGTGGTGACCATGTACAAGGCCCGTAGCAGTGCGGAATCCAGCATCCTCTTTGTCCAGATTTTGTTTGCGTCTTTACAGAAACTAATGCTTGGTTGCTTAATAAATGGGCATCTTTTATTTTTTAACCTTCTTCTCTTATACTTTGTAGGTTTATTCTTCAGTCCAAAGGGGTAATTCACAACCAGCTTTTAGAAAAACAAAAAATTGCAGAAGAGAAAATTAAAGAATTGGAGGTAAGTGTAAGCATGTTGATGAGAGAGCATTTATCTCATGGGGGGGCATTTCCATCCTCACTTTGGTTTTGAAATTAAAGCCCTTTTTTATCTCTGAAATTTTGGGTGGGGGCCAGGGCTTTGGTGCTGCAAGTAGCAATACCTTTCCTGTCCAGCATACAGACCTCTCATTTCTTGTGAAGCTCAAAAGTAACGATACAACCGTATTACGTGATGTGAGAGCCACTGGAAAGTGGGTTTGGCACATTTCAGCGGGCAGAACTCCACTCTGGCTAGCCCTCTTTAGTCTCTGGTTAACAAATCTGGTCTCATGAATGTCTACGTAAATAGGAATTCTCTGTGTAATGACAGCAGGTCTGTGAGCAGAAAAGTGTTCTGTGATATGCCCAAGGAGTGTATAATGGGATAATTGGGGTGTGTTTCAGTGTGAAATGCACCCTGTAAGCATCCAGGGTTCTTGTGGCCAATGTACCTGCGTTGGAGAGAAAAAGGGTTTGCTTTGAAGTGCATGGTAGGCAATCTTTTCTGTGAAAGGCAGTGAAAATGCCGCTCTGTCCCTGCTTAGAGGGAAGGAAACCATGGTTTGTATTGTATGTTTCTTGCCCAAGGCTTAACACTGAAAGCGTGTTAGCAGGAAAAAGATAAACTTTTCTGAGTGACTCTTGATATTTTCCATTAAGGTTCCCCCCCCCCACTACTAACTCCGAGCCTGGAATCAGAACACATAGCCAGGCATTTTTTAATTTATTAGATTTTATTGTACTGGTCCTCGAAAGAGGTTAAGGTGCCACATGTGCTGTTTCTGCTCCTTGATACAGCTCACGAAACAGGTTAGAGAGAGAGAAAGTTAGCAACTTAAAGTCATCATGGCGGAGTTGGCAACCTCCAGGTGGGGTCTGGCGATCTCCAGGAATTATAACTGATCTACAGACTACAGAGGTCAGTTCCCCTGGAGAAAACGGCTGCTTTGGAGGGTGGCCCTGTACCCTGATGAGGTCCCTCTTCCCTCCTCAAATCCCACCCTCCCCTCCACCTGTGCAGGGTGTGGCAAATTTCACTGCTTCCTCCCTCCCACTCCAATCCTTTTAGTCCCATGAAAGTTTGTTCCAGGGGTTTAGCAGACCTTTGGGAGGTGGGGAATATACCCCCTTCTTAAGACAACTTAAGGGCACCAGTTTTCTTAATAAGCTCAGATCCACCCCGGGTGTCTTGTTAGCAAGCCACTTAGCCAGGAGGATTTTATGTGGCTCTGCCACCTCCTTAAACCTTGCTCAATGTGACCTGCTGGCGAGATTAGTTTCCAGCCAGAGTTTTGGCAGTAGGCAGGCAGCTTAACAGTCCCCTCTTTAGACCAGGCATATATTGAGTGCTGTTTCATTTTGTGCAGGTGTTCATACTGAATCTTGGATAGGATATCAAGAAAATTGGTAGCTTTGAGGTATTGCAAAAACTCTCCCCACATTGGCTGATGCAGTAGAATACTTATTAAACTTCCAAGGGAAGTAGTGTAGAAATTACTTGCAAGTCGCTTGCAAGCCGCCGTAACAGATCTTTCTAAGTTGCATCCATGTTTTGTCTGTAAAATCTGTGATATTCGTCTTATGCAGTCCACAGCGTGAACACTGCCAGCCTCTTGCATCCAAGGGACGAGCTGGCAGTGCCTTTACTGTCTTCTAGCTGTGGTCGTCTGTGAGTGAGCACTGGCATGGGCAGGTAGATATGCCTCTCTTTCCCCTTTCTATGCAGCTACCAAAAGAGCCCTGCCACCCAACGGTTAATATCTCTTTCCTAAAGCTGTTGTTGGCATGGCAAATATGTTCTTGCTGTAATACGTGTATTATATATATATGGATTCATACCGAAGGAGATCTTCTAACAATTTCCTAGTCTTTGAATGTCTATTTTTAACTTATTTATTTTAAATGGAAAGGAGGGTGGGTAAATATGCTCAGGGACAACTGTGCTAATGATATGAAGCAGGCTAACATTTTAATTACATTTGGGGCTGAATGTCAGGTCTGATCATATGGAGACAAAGTCTGCTTGACTCTGCAGCTAAGGACAGCCTTGGCGGCCAGCGTAGGTCAGATGTCTTAGAGGAAAAATGGCAGACATGTTACAGCTATATTTGTTCCTCTTTCAAAAATGCATTTAAGAATAACAGCTGTCAGTTCTGAGCAGTGATGATTATGGTACCTTCATTGCTAGGACAGTTGGCATTGAAGCAGTCCTCTGGACAGTTTCCATTCTTTTCTCGTGCGGGCTTTGCAGTTACTTAAAAGCATCACCCTTTGCCATGCTGTTCACTATCAATGGATTTTTTCAGCCATTCTGTTAAGCTGCATGCATGTGCATCCGTGTGTGTGTGTGTGGGGGGGTAATTGCATGGAAATGGAGGCGGAATTGCTATTGCATGATAGGAAATGCAGATAAGGTGCAGTAGAGTCACTGTCATTGCCCGTCACAGCATCAGTCATTTTTATAATTTTGCCGGAGCAGACTATTTCAGTGGTGGCAGTTCTTCAGAGACGCTCAGCAGTGTTCAAAAGGCAAGATGTATCTGTTGGGTGTGAAAAATGGTCACAAACTTGTCCTTCAAGTTATTTTTAAATTCTGTTTTGTATTTGGCTTGCCCTTTGGGCCATTGCAGGCCTTCAAGACAGTTTAAACAACAAAAATGTATTTTAGCGTTCAAAGCTCCAGAACTTCAGCTAAGGGGAAAAAACTATTTCCAGCATTTTATTTCTAAAACAGCAGCTCATTCTAATTTTACGATTCTTCAGCTTGTCTTAACTTCTGCTGAGCTTCAGTTTGTGGAAGGAAGCACTATTTGACTTCCTGCACTCCTAGAGAGCTTGCTGGCCTCAGCAGGGTAGCTAGAGCTCCCTTTCATAAGAACATAAGAGAACCATGTTGGATCAGGCCAGTGGCCCACCCAGTCCAACACTCTGGGCCACACAGTGGCCAAAACCCAGGTGCCACCAGAAAGTCCACCAGTGGGGCCAGTTACATACAGCCTTGGTAGTCTTTAGGCAGGAGAGCATGTCTGCTCTGATGCACCCTGTAGTGGCCTGTGAACATAAGAACATAAGAGATGCCAATGTTGGATCAGGCCAAAGGCCCATCTAGTCCAACACTCTGTCACACAGTGGCCAAAAATACCAGGTGCCATCAGGAGGTCCACCAGTGGGGCCAGGACACTAGAAGCCCTCCCACTGTTGGCCCCCCCCAAGCACCAAGAAGACAGAGCATCACTTGCCCCAGAGCCCCTATCTATACCTTGTGGCTAAGAGCCACTGATGGACCTCTGCTCCATATGCCTATCTAATTCCCTTTTGAAGCCGTCACCACTTCCTGTGGGACATATGAATTTGGCCAGAAATAGGACAGGCTTCATGGAAAGCAATTCAGGGCTTTAGATGTCTTTTGGCACCACTTTTACTACTAGCCTAATCACATATCTTCCAGCTGCGCTAGTTTTCCTGGTACAGTATCCTCTACCAAGTTCCCCATTGCTGCAAAGTACCATCTTCTGCTTCCTATCAAAAATTTGCCTGAGAGTGAGAGACAGGCACGCAGACTTGTCTGTGACCACTTTGCAAGTGTAGCTAAACTGACACTGGAATGGGGGAGGGTGGGTCCTGGTTCATGCACCTAGCTAGGGGGAGGGGAGCAATTGTTTCATATTTGCCCTGAGGACGCTTGTCTGCATATGCTTTTATTTTGTGTAATCTATAGATTCATCTCTCCTGTTTTTCCATGGGAGGCAGTTTACAGCTTTAAAAAGATCAATATAAATACGGTAGCAAAAATGTTCACTAAACAGTAGGAAATCACTGCTCACTAAAATCAGCGTCAAAGTCTACAAGATCCCCAGCAGGAAAACACTGAAAATCTGAGCTGCGTCATTCCAAGATCCTGTTACAAAGAGAGTCGTTGCCAGGTGTTGAATATTTGGCCTTGTAAGAGAATGCACCTTCTCGGTGGCCGCCAACCACCTCCCTTCCAAAGGTGGGAGAATGCCAAACAGGACTTTTGAAGGAGACCTTACTTATTGGGCAGATTCGAATGGGAGTCAGCTGCCCTTCGGAGCCACTGTCTTAAGTCCATTCAGCCCAGAAATAAATTGGTAGTCAGTGACATTCTCTCGGGATGGGTAGAATATGTGCCTGCCTGTTCTCAGTTAACCCGCCTTGCAGCTGCATTCTGGACCCATTGTGGTTTCTGAATCCATCCTGTTTTCTTGCTCTTCAAAGGCAATTCCCAATAAAGCATATTGCACTAGTTTAATGGATGTGACCGAACCAGGGACCGTGGTGCACTGAACAGAGCAGGGTCACTTTTTTCCAGGAACGGTCACGCAACATGGTCATCTGAACTGGGCTAAAGCAGTTTGTGCCACGGGCGAACCCTTGGATGTCCACCTGTAGGCTGGATCTAACAATGTCCCAAAGCTGCATGTCTGAGCTATTGAGGAAAACGCAGGTTCCTTCGGAAGGATGGCTCCAGACTCCAGAGCAAACTAATGTATGCAGCAGCCAAATCGCTCGCTCACAACTTTAATGCCAGTAGCTCACAAAGTAGAATTTTTGCTCACAAGGCTCCACAGCTTAGAGGGAGCATTGATTAGGGCTTATTGTTGCCTGTGCCTCAGTTTCCTTGTGTGCCTGGCAGCATTTCTCCTCCTCAGGTTGGGCTCTCATATACATCCTGTAGTACATGCATGCCTCGTTTTGATGGAGAGCTGTGTCCCAAGTTGCGAAAGTGCCATTATGTTACCAAGGAACTTTGTCTTGGAGTGAATTCTTTATAGTTAAGGAGGGAATCTGTTTGTCCTAACTTTTGGGAGGTATTTGTTCCTTTAACAGCAGAGCCGTCTAAAACTTCCCACAACTCTTTGTTGTTGTTTTTTGTATCATCTTGCAATGCGTTTATTTCACTCAGTGGTCTGGGTTGATCACTGTTTCTTCTTGCACACTGATTCATATTTGCCTCAAGTG